TCCTCAGGCTAGTGGAGGGGAGAGGGGGAAAGGCAGGAGAAGATATCCACTTAGCATAGGGGTCAAGAGGATGTACCATGTGCTTACCCAGAGTGAGGTTTTCTCCAGCAAAATATTTGATATATTTAAAACAATCAAAATGTACCATTCGTGATTAGGTTCAGGTAAAATTTCTAACATTATTAAGTAAAAGACCCAAAGGACAGTTTGAGGTATAGCTAAGAAAAAAATAGAAAATGTAAATGGGTAAATGGGTATACCTGTTAAAAATGATCAATTTTACAAGTTTGAAATGGAAAACAAACTAAAACAGTATCATTTTCAGCCAAAACACTAGCAAAATTTCTCAAGTACTGATAATATGCCATACACAAGAAGGTAGAGGAAAGTAGCCAAAACAACTTTATGAAACATAATTTAGCAGTAGTTAGCATATCTTAGAAGCCTATAACCCTGCTTCTGGAAAAACATTCCCACAAAAATAAAAAGATTCATATACAAATATATGGACACTTCAGCCTGTTTAGAACAAAATGGAATGGCCACATAAATTGTGCTGCATTCATTCCACAGTATATTTTGTAACTAGTAAATTAATTGTTGGGGCTGGAGAGATGGCTCAGCCCTTAAAAGTGCTTGCCACTCTTGCAGAGGACCAGAGTTATATTCCAGTGCCAACTTCAAGCAATTCACAACCACCTATAGCTCCAGCTCTAAGGGATCCAACATCCTTTTCTGGCTTCCTAGGGCACCCACATGCATGTGCACAAATACACACATACACATAAATAAAAATAAAGATGAATATATTTAAATTAAGTAATTGCATACAATGTGTATATAATACATATTCAGGATTGTGTATAATATATATACCTATGCTTATATACAAACCTGGAAAGATGCCCCTGTTGCGTGAAGTGGAAAGAGCTGGTTAGAGGTAGAGTAAGTGTTGAATGCCGGTTTTGTTTCTAATACAGGAAGAGATTATGTATGCACATACTTTTATTGTTGATGATAAAAACAGAGGAATTATCCCAGCTAATATCCCTGTAGGCTTACTTAAGAAAGCAGAGGTGGTGAGATAGGAGGTAGGATTGGATTATTTTTTTGTTCACATGCCTCAAAGTTATTTCAGTTTTACAGTAAACATGTGTCATATTTTGTAATTTATAAAGATTCCAATAAAGTATAGAAGAGAAAAAGGAAAAATATGACTGTGAGAGAACATGCCCCCAGAACCCAACGAAGATTAATTCAGAACTTTGGGGAATATATTTTGAAAAGAGTAAACTCTGGCTGTTGAAAGTACCCCAAAACATGACATTTGAAAACAGGTGGAGGGACTGGAACTACTTAGCCTGGACAAAATTAGATGGAGGAGCAGTGAGCCTGGGATTGAGGCAAGGAGGGAAGATGGCTGTCCATGAACATTTAATGAGTGGCTGAGCCTCCAGAAATCCCTTCTCCTGAGCAGCAGAGAGCCCTTGCTTTTTGACTGGATTCTGAAATAAAGTCTACAGTTTCCACCTTCCTTGCAGGTCAGCATGACTATGTGCATGAGCTCTGACCCTGATTTGTTACACCACAGTGGTGTGTGTAACTTGCAGTTTATTTTTTAGGCTATTTTACAATATTGTTTTAATCTGATTTGCTTTATTTATTCGTTTATTTATTTTATGTGTATGAGTGTTTTGCCTGCATGCGTGTAAGTTCACCTATGTCAGGCAGTGCCCACAAGCAAGAAGAGGGCATCAGACTCCCTGGAACTGGAGTTACAAATAAGTGTGAGGTGCCATGTGGGTGCTGGGAACTGAACCCAGGTACTTTGCAAGAGCAGTCAGTGTTCTTAACCACTGAGTTATGGCTCCAGCCCCTTGATTTACGTTTTTAAAACTTTATTTATTATTTTTATTTTACGTGTATGAGTGTATTGCCTGCATGTGTGTGAGTGCACCTGTGTTGTGCAGTGCCGCCGAGGTCAGAAGAGGGCTTCGGATTCCCCTGGAACTGGAGTTAAGGACAGTTCAAAGCTGCCATGTGGGTGCTGGGAATTGAACCCGGGTCCTCTGCAAGAGCAGTCAGTGCTCTTAACTGCTGAGCCATCTCTCCAGCCCCCATCTTGATTTACATTTTTATTAAATGTCATTATATATGTAACTAAAAGAAAGTATAGGCACAGAAGGAAGGTTCTAGAGAAAATCTTGGAATTTCTTTTTTCCTGTTTCTTTTACTTTCATTCATGTATACAGTGCCACATCCACCGCCACCACCCACTCCTTCCCTCCAGCTTCTTTGGCCTCCCACCAATATATCTCCCATCACCCTCCAAGCTTCATGTCATTTTTTAAATAATTAAGTCGAATTAGTGTTTCCCATATGCATACATCTGTGGGGTCATCCACAGAGACATGAGTAACCTACCAATAACCAACACTCCCCAAAGAAAAGTGACTCTCTGTCCCCTAGCAGTCATCAACAGCCATTAGCTCTTCGGCTAGGTGTGGGGCATCAGGAGCCCCTCCCCACTCCATGCTGGAAGTTTTAACTTTCTCGATCTTGTGGAAGTCTTGTGCAGGTAATCACAACTGTTGTGAGTTCCTGTTTGAAACAGCCATGTCACATCCAAAGGCCAGCCTTTCACAGCACTCTTCCCCATCCTCTGGCTGTTACATTCTTTCTGCCACCACTTCTGTGATTTCTTTCCTGAACCTTGTGGGGCAGGGTTGATATTAATGTTCATCTATAGCTGACCACTCACAGTCACTGATTCTCAGCACTTTGAACAGTCTCTGCATTAACCGCTACACACTTCAGTTGCAGGACACAGACAAATCAATCTTGAACTGGCCAGGAAACTCTCTCCCTGCTGGCTAGCCTTCGTAGTGCTGGAAAGTGCTATACTGGTTGCTGGGGGAGTAGGCACCAATGGTCTTACCTAATGTTGAACACTGCATGCTACAATAAAGACCAGCCAGCCAAGATGGGCCCATCACTGCAAGAGTTGAAAGACTGTTTAGGGGGCAACCAGCCTCTCTCTTGATTAGATTTGAGGCCTGCTCCACAAGAAGGAATTCATGCCTAGCATTGTAAACATGGTCAAAACCCATGGCTAGGGTATCCATAGGCTCCAGGGGAGAACTTACTGATGCTGTTTTGCTAAATGGTCATATTGTCAAAGTGGCTTCTATATTTTTGTTTACATGCATAGATGTTTGCTGCTTCCCACCTTGTTCACAGAAGTTTCTTATTAAAGAGCTTGGACCTTTTTTTTTTTTTTTTTTTTTTAGTTTTATGTGTATGAGTATATTGCCTGTACGTGTGTTGTTGTTTTTTTTATTTTGAGTTCCTGCATGTATGTAAGTGCACCCAATGTCATACAATGCCCACAGAGGTCAGAAGAGGGCGTTGGATCCCCTGGAATTGGAGTTACAGACAATTGTTAGCTGCCACGCGGGTGCTGGGAATCAAACCTAGGTCCTCTAGAAGGGCAGTAGGTGTTCTTAACTGTTGCACCATCTCTCCAGCCCCAAGAGCTTATACTTTACAAGGATGGGTCAGGCCCTCCTCTTCCACACTTGGCCTCCCAATTAATGTACCTGTCCCTGGCACTGAGGAAGCCTATGAAGTCTAGAAAGGGAAACATTCCCCCCCCCCAATAGGATAACTCCTTTTAATTTCCTTTAATGATGTATATGTATATACTTTAAGAAGCCTCTATAGTTGTAGGTTTCCATATAACTTTTTCTAAAGGCCTTTAGTGTTACTTATCCCTCCCTATGCTCCCTCCTCTGCCCTGCCCTCCCATTCCCCACCCTCCTAGTCTAATGTTCCCCTTTCCCCCTTCATATCTCTACGTTCTACCAGCCCTCCCAGGAAGCCTCCCCTGATACCTGTGGCTGTTAGTGAGTTTCTTGACCTCTCTGAATTTTCAAATAGAAACATACATAATCAAAGCTAGCATCCAGCAATGAGAGAGAACATGTTTGTCTTTCTGAGTCTGGATTCCCTCACTCGGGTTGATCGTTTCCAGTTCCATCCATTTACCTGCGAATTTCATAATGGTATAGAGTCATTTTCAACACCATACTGTGTCTGCTTTTGAGTTTTCCTGATGCTTTTCCTGTTCTGCCCGACTGGGTTTTCACTTTGTGTTCCTACAAGTATGTGCACGTTGTACAATTCAAAAGCTTCCTGAGAAGGAAGGCAGAGCCTTCTACAACTTCCATTCCGTATATACTCACACAAAACTTATACCCACTGTGGCTACCTGACCAGGGCTGTCCAAGAAGGACAAAGGCCATATGACCAGGGTGGCGTCCTCATTAGAGCCATGGGATGACTGGTAGGTGAGCCAGGTTGGTTCCTCCATCTCTGGAAAAAGTGACAGGAAACCTGAAAGCATTTTGAAACCTGAATGTCATGGCTTGACTTTTTACTAAACTGGTATCTGTGGGTAGGTTAACATAAGCTGCTTCCAATTTCATGTGTTTCTAAGTTGGACCAAAATGAGGCAGTGGAAATTCATTAAAACACAGCCTTTTCCAATGCACAAGAACATTCTACCCGGAAGTTTGTAAGATCGTCCTCCATGGTAGATATGTACATGTGTCCTAGTTAAGAATGCATTCATGGAGCTGGAGAGATGGCTCAGCAGTTAAGAGCACTGACTGCTCTTGCAGAGGACCTGAGTTCAATTCCCAGCACCCACATAGCGGCTATGAACCATCCTTAACTCTGGTTCCAGGGGAATCTGACACTTTAGTAACAATTAATTTAACTCTAAAACCTTACTACTATAAATTTTGAACCACCTAATATAGCTGTCAGCAATATATGTACAAAATTTTCAAAAGAAATATGGTGTTATAAATTGATTTCTAGTGGCTCTACTTGTATTTCAAAAGAATTGTTAAATAATCAATGTACTTGGCTTAATTGATTTCTATTTCTCCTTGTGTTTTAAAAGAACTGCTAAATCAATGTACTTGGCTTTTTAATTACTGAATGTTTCCCAGGAGCTCTTTAATCCAAGACAGAAGAACGTTCAATTCACAGATGCCTTTATAGATTCCTTTGTTTCCAATCTATGGATAAAAGAGACATGAGAAGACAATGTTTTTCATATTTTAAAAAACAAAGCACTCAAAACCAAGAATTTGGACTACTTACCCCATAAAACAATCTTTTCATTCTAGTGATAGAGCTCATCTCTCTAGCTGATGATGCACAGGAAATCTAAGAGATCAACAGGAAGTTCAGATAAAATTACTAATGAGGGATAATGGTCTTTCATCCATCCAACAGAGGTATCAAGTACTGGGCATTGGACATGCACTGATAAGGAAATAAGGCTTGGACAGTTTCATGGGGGAAGCAGATCATAGAAAAGGAAACAAAAAATAAAAACTTACAAACTACAACTAAAGACAGGTTTACACTGTATACATTTGTGTGATAGAGTATTAAGCTGCTTTCATTGGGTGGTAGGGAAGTGTTCCTTTGAAAAGTCACATTTAAACTGAGATTCAAAGAATGAAAAGGGGACGCAGCGAAAAGAGGAGAAGTTATGGCGGAAACACAGAGAATAAGTGAAGTCGAGGGGAAGGTGTCCAAATGCCCTGAGGTAGGGAAGAGCTTAGCGCCCTCTAGAAGCATGCCTAGAGCCCATCAAGCAAGACCAAGAGCAATGTAGATACCAGGGTGACAGGGCAAAGACAGAAAAACACTTGCTTTCTGGAAGATCGCTCGGCTATCTTGACAAGCCAGAGTGCAATCTTTAGTGTAGAGGGCAGGAGAGCACACACAGGAAATGCCTGTTACCACGGGGAGCTTGTTGCCTAGCCAGGGTGGCCACAAGTCTTTGTGCAGGGATTTCCAAACCCAATCTGAGTGTAGGAATCAAATAGGAAAAGAAATTAGCAACTTCCACTATTCTTCCAGATTTTCACAAGGTTAATTAAAGAAAAGGGAAGAGAAGGAAAAGATAGAAATGTTATTCACTCAGCTTTTATTCATAAAATCTTAGAGCTGCTATAGGCCTTAACGTTTATGACAGAATGCATGAAATCTGGTGGGGTAGGTAGGCTATGGGGGGTTACAGAGAGGGGAGGGGGTATAAACATGATTAAGATGTTTTGTATGAAATGCACAAAAATTTAATTATAAAAAATCTTGGATCTGAATTAGACAAAGGAGATTTTTTTTTTAAGCTGGATCATTCTCCAGTTTTGGAAGACAAACAAGTCCCAGGTGATTTAGAAACTCACTTAAGGTGTCACAAGAGATCTTGCTTTGACAAGAAGTCTTGATGGTCTATGCAGCCCTAATGAGAATGCTTAGCTGAACGCAAATGAAAGTGGCTTCATGGCAGTGCCCTCTAAAGTGAATGACGTATGGCTAAGGTCAGCCTTCAGTCTCTGTAGCGGTGTTGGGGTCATAACTCTGCCAAAATGAGGACTGTAGTATCAGGTCGAAATAAGGACTGTAGTACCAGGTCGCTCTGCACAAAGAGGAAGAGACTCTTGCTGTGTAAGCAGGAAACACGAAGGCTGAGAACTGTCTGGAGGATTCCTGAACACCGGCTTAGAGTGGCCAGGACTGAGCACCAAACTATGCAGTATATAGTCCTGCAGTTTGGTGTGGGTGCAGTGGGTACAACTTAGTCTTCATACTAAATGTGCATAAGCCCGTTTTTAATAATAATACCATGTGGCTGGAGAGATGGCTCAGCAGTTAAAAGCACTAACTGCTCTCCCAGAGAACTTGAGTTCGATTCCCAGCACCTACATGGTGGCTAACAACAATAAGTAACTCCAGTTCCAGGATCCAATGCCCTCTTCTGATCTCTGTGGGCACTGCACGACACAGGTGCACTTACATACATGCAGGCAATGTAAAATAAAACTAATAAATAAAATAAAACTAATAAATAAAATATTTAAAAAATAATAGGGGCTAGAGAGATGGCTTGGTGGTTAAGAACACTGGCTGTTATTGCAGACAAGCCGGGTTCAAATCCCAGCACCAACATGGCAGCTAACAACTGTCTGTAACTCCAGTTTTAGGTGATCCATCAACCTTTTCTGTCCTCTGCAGGCATTGCACAGCAGGAGTGCACTTACATACATGCAGGTAATATACTCACACACATCAAATAAAAATAATAAAATATTTTTTAAACAAGGATCTCTAGATAGGCTGACTAGATTCAGCAATGGACTTGCACTGGGGAATGGCTGGGGGTGCCGACAACACAGTGGACAGTAACAGGGATGACAGTATATGGGCTCCAGTGGTGGGGGGGGGCTATAGGAGGGTGCCATTTGGGAAGTGGGAATATAGATGAATAAGATTGTTTGGGATGTTCTGTATGATATGCACACAAAAAATCAACAAATAAAAATGACATATTTGAGGAGGAAGCATAAAAATTTACTTCATGTTATTAGTAGAGGTGATAAACATTACCATTGAAATCTACCTGATGACTTTATATCCATACTCAGGTGCCAAGGATCCAAGTATAACCAACTGTGACTAGTAATCATCAGATATATAGAGATTAGAGACACATGTGCAAACATCTGAATGTTAGCAGCATTTAAAAATGAGTCTTTCTGTAGGAAACAGCATATTTTAAAATGAAATGGAGATCTTTTTTAAAGGTTAAAAACTCATTCAATTTTATGTCTTACAGGGTCTATACTGAGTTCAATATTGTATAACTGTATTAATTTAACTGTGAACCTAAAAATTTACAGCCACTTTTGAAAGAGATGTATTCTTGCTCTGGAAATTGTTATTGAATATGTTAAAGCTATAGTGAAATGCTTCTTCTAATCATGTGGTTATTAAAAAAATTTTTTTAAATAATATAGCACCAATCCCTCATAGGTGGGTATATATCCTGATATAACACCAGGAGCCAGTTAAATGGAAAGGAAACCCAAAGGTAAAGGAAAGAGCCTGAAAAAGGGGGTTAGTAGGGAACAGATGTTACCAGTGGGGAGGTGAGGAAGTGGAGGTGTTCAGCCGGGAGAGGATGGGGGAAAGACATGCAGGGGATCATGGGAGTGGGAGAAGGGAACTTAGGAGAGGGAGGATGGTGGAATGCAGGTTGTTGGGGGAGGGTGGGGAATTTAGACAGGGGAGAGAGGAGGCAGGTCGGACGGGCAGGGGGGAGGAGACATGAATGGAGCTTGGTGTGGGAAACAGGGAAATGTGTTGGCTCAGGAACCCTCTGAGAAATACACATGTTGTGTGCATCTGCATACCTGGGGGCTGTATGGCAAGGAGCACAATGCCAGACAGGAGGGACCTCCCATCAAGTTGCTGGTCAGTGTAGTCCAAAAGACTCCCAAAATAACACGGGCTATTGCCTGAGCCCCTGATTGAGCCCAGAACTTGAAGGTAAGACCCTACTGCTGAAGACATGACGTACTTTGGTCACAGGACTTGGAACAATGGAGCTGGAACCAACCTGGAACCCTTCTCTCTGAAGACTAACTCTCATAGTTCTAGATACTACGCAAGCTGCTAAGGGAGAAAATCAACCAATGGCCCAACCTATCTCTAAAGCCTAATAACTACAACCACTGGCACAGCAAACTACCTGTTGGTGTAGTAGTGGCACTGGTATTTGGGGAAGGGGGTAACTAACAGCTATCTAATTGGACTTAAATGCTTTCAGTGGGAGGGACCTCATGGGTGGCACTGTAATTATAGCCAAATATACATGGTTGGAGAGGTCACAGATCCTAGAGAAACCCTATCTCTATCATATCTCTAGAAAAATGAAATTTCTTACCATATGCTAAATATGGATCCTTATATTTACAAACAAGTACACCACTAGTCAAAGAAGCCTCTCTGTGCAACAGATGGAGGCTACTGCAGAGTTCCACAACTGGTTATACACAGGGACTATATATCTGAGAGATGCCCAGCCGTACATGACACATCTACAGTGGAACCTCTACACCTAAGTCTCATGGAACATAGTGGAACTGCGGTGGAGAGAATACTTGTGCATCCCTCAACTCTCACCAGTGAAGCTTCCTTATGCAACAGTGTGTGAGATACACAGAAGACCACAACTGGCTAAGTTTAAGATAGTAAGAGACTCAGAGTGTGTGTCCCAGGATAGGACTCCTGTATTAAACCTCACCCACACATGGCTCAGGGACCATTGCACAGGAGGGTGTGGAAAGATTGTAAGAGCCAGAGCTTGTCCATGGACATAGGGAAACAGAGGCTTTCAGGTCACTGGAAGCTTGCCCGCATGAACTTGTGGCAGTGTTGGCATAGTGCATAACACCTATGCCGACTCAATCAGACCCGATGTGGAGTGAGGGAAATGAGTGGCAGGCCCGGCCTTAGCCTGGAACTGTTGGTAACTGACTACTCTGGATGAGGGTGAGTAGATCTTTAAGATCTCTAGATGGGCTGACTAGACTTCAAGGGATGAACTTGCTCCTAAGGACATCTGGATACAAATACTTGACCAGATAGGATTTAACATATATGACAGAATGCATGGGTCTGGTGGGAATGGGGAGCTATGGGGGAAGAGATGGGGAAGGGGGTCAAAATTTGATTAAGAGCTATTTTATGAAAACATTAATAAATAATATTAAAGACAAAAGGAAAGAAATGAAAAAATTAAAAAGGGTTAAATGTTAAAATAATAATAATAACAAATACCACTATACTTTATGTGTCTGCAGTCATTTGCTAGAGTTTAAAAATAAATACTAAAGACACTGAAGGTAGGAGACCAAGAAGCAACCAAATTCTGGAAAGTATCATTTAAATAGCATTAAGGCATTCCTATAGACTCTGTGTGCATGTTCATGTGTGCATGCATGTGTATTCAAGTGCATGTGCTCATGTATGCTCATGTGTATGGGGGCCAGAAGTTGACATCAGATGTCTTCTTCAATCATTCTTCACCTTATTTTCTTAAGCAGAGTCTCTCACTGAACCTGGGGCCTATCAATGGGGCTAGACTGGCTGACCAGCAAACCCCAGGGATCCTCCCATCTCCACATCCTCATCAGTGACCCCTGGCTTTTTATATGGATGCTGGGGCTCTGAGCTCATCCTCATGCTGATATGGCAAGTGCTTTACCTATTGAGCTAACTCCCCATCCCCTGCTCAGACCTTTCAACATCCCACAGTAGGGTGGGAAGTGCCAGAAAGACTCTGATCCCTTTCACATCTAATGCATAAACCA